GCACAGAGCTCCACATGGGGCTTGAACTCACAAACCGTGAGATCATGACCTGAGCCAAAATCAAGAGTCAGACACTTAACCAACTGAGTCACCCAGGCATCCCCATCTTTTGCAATTTTTAATTCTCCAGGGGAGTGCTGGCTGAGACGCTTATTTCCAACCCTAATCCACTTATTTTCTAATGCTCAAACACAGCAGAACACCAACGACATTTAGTGTGTCAGCACCTTCTCTTGAACATGCAGGAGAGTGTTTTGAAAGAATGCTCCCTTGATAAGACTTGAACTCTGGTCTTTTTCTTGGGAGTCCAGCCTAGCTCCCAGTGAGGGGAGCCCTGAACACTGCCTGGTAGAGAGAAGAACCACGGGACAGGTTAAATAACTGCCTCAGTGCTTTTCTGAGGCCAGATGGGGTCAGTAGGCTTAATGAGTTCTTGGGAATGATCACCATGTGTTGAAATGGTTAGGAAAGGCTTCTGGAGGAAGTGGGATGGTAATAATGTTGACTTCGTAGGCTAGCTGTTCAGTGAGGCTCTCATATTAATAGATACATGTTCAATAGTTATTTTCATCTTCAAGGGCTGTATAAGCAATTGTCCATCTTAGGTTTGGTCCCATAGATTCAACTATTGCTCCCTTAGACTAGAGAGCCATATAAGGATCTCAGCCTATAGTTCTAATTTTTAAACAACAGTTACAAAACACACAAACTAAAAGCAAACCATCTCGTTTCACTTATTCTAAATTTAATTTTGGACACCACCAGCTTGTTGTAGTTTCTTAATCACTCAGAAACACAATGTTAGACATCCTTGCTTAAAAATAACATTAGTAGGGGGCACCTGGGTGGCTTAGTTGGTTGAGGGTCCGACTTCGGCTAAGGTCATGATCTCGCAGTTTGTGAGTTTAAGCCCCGTGTCAGGCTCTGTGCTGACAGCTCACAGCCTGGAGCCCACTTCGGATTCTGTGTCTCCCTCTCTCTCTGCCCTCCCCTGCTAATGCTCTCTTTCAATAATAAATAAACGTTAAAAATTTTTTTAACAAAAATAACATTAGTAATATGTACTGAGTAATTATGATGTGCCAAGAACTGTGCTAAATGCTTTCAATGCATTATCTCAATTGTCACAGCCAAAGGAGTGGTTATCCAGCTCAATTTACTAACGAGGGAACAGACTCAGGGAAATGAAAGAACTTGCCAAACTCTCAGTAAGTGACAAGATCAGAATGGTAAATGTGGGGCTGTCTTGTCCCCAAATGAGGACTTGGATGCAAGCACACCCTGTCTTGCTGCACTTCACTTCATTACAGACACTGTGTTCTTCACAAATGGGAGGTTTGTGGCAACCTGCATTGAGCAAGTCTACCAGTGCCATTCTGCCAACAACATTTGCACACTTCCTGTCTCACGTGTGAGAATTTTGGTAATTCTCTTGACGTATTTCAAACTTTTTCAGTATTACTGTATTTGCTATGGCGATCTATGATCAGTGATCCTGGATGGTACTATGGTAACTGTTTTGAGGTGCCATGAAATGTGCCCATTTGAGAGGACAAACTTAATAAATGTCGAGTGTGTTCTGACTGCCCCACCGATTGGCTGTTCCCCCGTCTCTCTCCCTCTCCTCGGGCTTCCCTATTCCCGGAGATACAACTATATTGACATTAGGTCAGTTAATAACCTTACAGTGGCCTTTAAGTGTTCAAGTAAAAGGAAG